TGGCTTTTGAAGAGTGAAAATCGTTAAATGACCTTACACAAAAAATTCCCATTTCACGTTGCACAAATGTAAATGTGTTTGTTAGCATAACAATGAGAAGGCGAAAGCAAAGTCAATTAAGCAAAGAGTATCATATTGCATTCTGTACACAAATCGAGCAAAACAAAAAATCAGGCGACCAAAAAGTACCTGGTACTTATTACACTATTACAAAAAATGTTGCACATATTTAAAAGATTGCTCGGCTTTAAGTATGCACTTTGCTGATCGAGAATTTGCATATTAAAATACTTGAGGGGTCGGCAAACATGACATGGAATGCGATATGCATTATTATTCAAAGAGTGCGGGGTGCGAGAATCCATTTGCTCTGTTTTTTCAGTGCCATTATTTGCGCTCATTGTTATTAATTTGATTCAATTTTAAATCGATTGCTTATGGGATTTGCGCACGGAAGCGTGAACAATAAAGTAAAGTCGCTTCGCTTATTTGAGGTCATTTCAGAGAAATTCGAGTGTATATATCCCAAAACAATGCCACACACAATACAATGCAGCTTTGAATTATACACAAAACCTGAGATAAATGCCACAAAGTGTTGCGACACAACCGCAAAACGAGACGAAAGTAATGGAAAGTTGGGAAAGTTGTGGAAAGTCGGGTGTCCTTTGATCGATGAAAACCCGTTGCGGGTCCATTGGTTTTCCCATCCCCACAGTGTCACTTAATCCTGCCGGAACTTGTGGGCACTTTCATCCATATTCATTAAGCCCCACGATGCGGCAACAGTTCTCCGCTTTTTTGAGAAACTATTTTTATTAATTCCAGAAACAAACGCCTTGCTTTCCAATTCGAGAGCAAACCGCAACGGGCCTAGAAACCCGCCTTGCTCCCCATTTATTTGCCCCCCGAAACTTCATCTGCAACCTCGTCATCATCATTATCATTTTCATCGTTGGGAGAAAGTTTTCCCAGCCGCAGAAATGATTGCTGTCACCGATAAGACGACTGACAATCGCCGAAAGGAGCTGGGCGAAAAGTTTTCACTACTTTCGGTTTTAATTTCGCAAATTGCATTTGCCAATGTTGTTTATCCAATCCACTGGCTGCGGAACAAGGAGCAGGGAACCAGGAATAAGGAATGAGGAGCAGGTGCAAGTGGCTCCGTCTCCTCGATTGTCGCATCCTGTCGCCGAAGTTCCTTTATTAACACGATTCTCGTGGCGCGGCGTCCGCATAAGAAAAATACTTGCCTGCCGCGTGAATCCTTCAGGTTTTCCCCCTTTGGTTTTTCCCCCTGGCTTGCCACTCCTTGGCTTCCCCTCCCCTTGGTTTTCCCCCAACAACCCTCCATAGCTCTAATCGATTTTTGATGAGATTTTTGTATTCAATTTTGGTTTTGATAGGTAACGAGGAGCGCATAACGCGAAGTTGGGGCTTTCGTGGGGGGTCCTTGGGAGGTTTCCGGGGGACTTTAGTGGGGCGTTGAGCATGGCTCTAAGTGGAGTGCAAAGGGGCGACGGGGGAGGTGGCTTTTTCTTCCCGCAGGAAGATGAAAATCGGAAGTTGGGATTGGAGGCTGCGAAAGTCGGAGGAGAGGGGAACCTCAGATGGAGGAGCCATGACAACGATGCCATTGACATAATTCCGCACCGCTTTTGTTTGTATTGCCAATGGAAGGGGGGCTGTTAAAGGGTGGCGGTGGAGGGGGAGTGGGGGAAAATGCATGATGGTTGCTGATGGTTGGAAAAACCAGTGGGGAAACCAACCACTCGCCTTCGGGCGGTTAAGTAAAAGCAAACGACTCCTCCTTTGTTTGGCTTTCATTCGCTTGAGCTCGAGTTGATTTACGCAGTGGCTCTCATAACTGGGCTAAGGTTTCCCTGCAATTGACTTTTTACTGCAACGCCAGTTAGCCACCAACCAACAACCAACAACCAGCTAACCAACCAACAAACCAACCTACCAACCAGCCAAAGGGTCCGAACCACGACGCCACATTATTATTTTGAAGGGTTCTTTCGGATTTGGTCGGATGAATGTGTGCGCATTAGGTTTGCTTTGAAACTTTAATAGTTTTTCGGAAAGCTCAAAATAATTGAATGGTTGGTCTTTCGGTGGTAAGGGGAAAAAAGGATAAAAACTAAAATGAAATTATTATTATGTTTGATTAATTCTATGCTTATCTGTTTGACAGATTGATTAAGTTTTAATTTCTAGTACAGGGATAACCAGAAACTTATTAACAGTAAATATTACATTTATATTTAATAAGACTCTTTTCATTTCCTTATATTTCTTTGATCTCGAATTGAATGGTTGTTTGTCTTGAAGTACGACTTTCCAATAAAAAGAATCAGGGAATGATTTGTATGACTTCATCTGGAGAAATGGGTCACCAGTTCGCTTATCCTTTAGCCATCGATTTGTGCTCTCCTCCCGAGCGTAGTTTTCCACTCTGTCTATCTGGCAATCCCATCTCGTTATCCTACTGCCGCTTTTTTCTCACAAATTTTCCCTTCTTACGTCAGCGTCGCAGTCTTAGTTTCGCATTCGTGCAAATCACATTAGTCGGCGTGCAAGTCCTTCTCGCAAAAAATCAGAGACCATCGATGGAGTGATTGAGCCCCTCGAACTTCGCAGATGTGTGCATGCATGTGTGTATGTGTGTATGTGTGTATGTGTATGTATGTGTATGTGCAACTCCTTCCAGGATCCGCCAATCTTCATTCTCCCGCTCTTTCCTTATCCCCATCGAAATTGGCAATTTCGTTTTCATTTAACGCTGACGAAATGCATTTCCTGAAATGAACAGCGGGCAGGACGAAGCCGGAGATGGAGTCGTGAATAGGGGAAGGGGAGCGGAAAGGGGAAAGGGGAAAGGGGGGTTCGGAGGTCGCAGGATGCAGGATGTGCCTGGCACAGAAGTCCACTGGAGCGAAGGAGGAAGAGGAGCGAGAGGACCACTCCTCTGGCTTTTCGCAATGTCAAACGCTGCCGCAAGGACGACAGCCGGAAGTACCGTACGGCCAGTGGGCAAAAGCCGCCCAAAGGGGGCGTGGCTGGAGGTCAAAAGGGGGCCGGGGGTCTGGACAATAAGTTTAATATATTGGCATGGACTTAAGCACAGCCAGGTGCTCGACTGCAGACCAGTTGAGAACCATTCTGTGCAGCTCTGGTTTTTATTTTTTTTTCAAGCATTTAAAGCAGCTATATAAAAGGACCAACATATGTCCAGTGTCCAGGATTCAGGACTCAGCGAGCAGGACCCGGACTCGGATTTGGAACTCGAGTGACTGGAATGACTGGACTGTCTGGTCTTGTATCCGGTTCTCGGCAACTGATTAAGACATTCTGGCTAATTCCCCTGCACCTGCGACACGACACCAAATGCACTTCGATTTGTCTGCATATCGTGACTCTGACAGGGATCTCCGACATGTCCAACATGTCTGGCATGTCCAACATCTCCAGCTGACGAAAGGTCAAGGAGGCACGGGTTCAAAGTCAGGTGTTGTGTAACTCAATGTAAGAGATGTAATTAAGCCTGAATTAGGTAGGAGGAGCTTAGGAGTTGGGTTGGGAGTCTGAGGAAGTGAACTCAGTCTGCAAAAGTTTGTTTCATTCGGATACTGCTTTTGAAAAAGTAATTAATCATGTAATTGATAGCAGAAATTTTAGGAGTTGCGTAACTTAAACATGTCAACTTTGAACTTTTCCTTAAAAAAAAGTTACCTTTTAAGGCTGGGTGGTGTTGTTAAAAAAAGAGTTAATTAATCATGTATTTGATAGAAGAAACTTCAGGAGTTTGATATAACGAACTTGTAGATTTAGTTTCAAGAAATGTTTTAAAGCTTTCGTTATGTTTATAATATATGTTGGAAACTATTTAATCACAAAATCAGTAATTGTGTAATTAAATCTAAGTCTATATTTTCGACGATTGTTCACATGATAGATATATGATATAGTCGTGCGATTTTTATGAAATTTATTTCCAAATTCAAGTGTCATTAGAAAACTACTTTGTTGTCCGATTTCTATGAAATCATTTTCTCAAACATTTCCAAAACTAAAAGATCTAAGAATCATATTTATTGCCAATATTTATATATACAATATTCTTCGATCTTTCGGATGGCAGCAATAATTTTAATTTTTTTTTTTTTTTGACGTTTTTATTTAGTAAAAACATTATAAAATGGTCAAAAATCATTTCATATCAACGGGGATGACATTTTCTTTCACGTTTCTCGGTCTATAAAATTTTTATCTGGGCATAAATTGAGTTCACTTAAAAAGAAATGCCAGTTTGTCTACAGAAATTTTTTATTTGGGATTTAGTTTACTGACAGTTGGTTCTCCGGTTAACTTGGCTGCAGGGTCGAACTGCAAAAGTTCACAGTCGCCACGAACGGAATCCATCAGCCGGAGTTTTAAATTGCATTTAGAGTCCCCTGATCCCCCATTAGTCGTAAAAAAGAACTTGTGTCCATTGCAACCCCTCGTCGTTCTTTATTTCGAGTGGACTCAAGTTGCCACCTGACTTTTCGACTGCGAGCTTTAATTCCCCTTCGCTGGAAAGTTGTTCGCTTTATCTCAAGCACTGTCCGCTTATCCTGTGCAAGGATATTTGTGTGGCTCAGCTCGACCTGTAACCTTAGTCTCTGTGTCCTTCTAGAACGCCCCCCCTTACAGTCCCCTTCTCCCCTCCCCCTCTGCTCCTCCCCCTTTTCATGTGACCTCAAAACTAAATCGAAACTTGCAGTTGCAGTGGCAGGACAATCTCGGCGTTATCCTTCCGTTGTTGTTCCTTCCTCTGGCCGAAGTTTGTGCGGCTCGCAAAATTGCAACAATTCAAATAGAAAACCGAATACTTTTCAGATCACAGACTCCCTTCCCCCTTTCCCTTGCATTTTCCCATTCTGCGGGGGTTTCCCATTCGATAATCGCTGTTTGTCATTTGTTGTTTATCTTTGGGGCTGCAGGGGCAAACTTACCGAAAGTCCTCGAGTTACAACATGAAACAAGTCGATGCCGGAGACACCTGCAAGTGGAGAGAGGGGGAAATCCATTAGTTAAGTTCTTGACAAGGCTGCCAGTTTATTACACCCCCTCCCCCCCAAAAAAAACATCCCCCGGAAAGTATTAATGATGCAACTGTCAAAGTTTTCGAGGCGAGAAAGACTCCACCTGCTAATGAGGCAACTCCAGGTTCCCCAGATTCAAGAGTCCCTTATCTCCTTTTCTTTTTTGGGTAAATTGAAAAGAATTAATGACAGCTCGCAAAAGCCAGTTTCGGGGGAAGGAGAAAGTAGAAAGGAGAGAGGAGAGTGCGAGGACGACCACGTCAAAGACATGCCAAACATATCACGTAAAACATTAAAATGTTGCAAGGAGCAGGGGGGCGGCAAAATGAGATGGGCAAACAGTGTTTGCCGCTGCCAAATGGAAATGTTGTTGAGGAAAATGGGAAAAAATAAGGGAGCGCAAAAAATGGGGAATGAATTAATGAAACGAAGTGGGAGGAGGAGTGGGTGGGTGGCAAAGAAAACAATTAAAAGAATTTATTGCTTCAGTTTAATGAATTTTCAGCTTGTTTGCACGCACACATGCCAAGTTTTGGATGGGATTCTGCCAGTTCAGCATTTTCCTTCTCTCTCTCAGCCATTTGATGCAAGTGGGTGGCAAATGGGTGGCTAGTGGGTGGCGGTGGGCGAAGGGGCTGCGGCCTAAAAAGGCGCCACAGGTGTAAAACGCTTATAAATCTGCGGAACTTCGTCTGCGTGTGTTAGTGTAAAATGTGTGTGTAGGTTTGAATGGGAATGAATGTTATTGTTGAACAGTGCTTAATGAAGTTTTTTTTTTCTGTTCACCTTCCAAACAGAATTTTTGCAGCTGCTTAGACGGGAATTGATGGGTAGTCGGAATCTGATGAGGCAGCTGAGGCTGCCACACGTGGAAAGGAAGCTCTCGAAAATCATTTTAAATGGTCCTGATGCTTGTGCCCTTGTTTCGCATTCATCCTGCTCTTGGCTGTTTTTGGTTCGAGTTTATTTGCGCTAAGGCAATTAACAAAGTTGCCAAGATGATCTGAGCTCTTCAGTACAGTCTCACCTGAGATACTACGGGCTTAAGTTAGATATCTTGGAAAAAGTACGACTAAATGTTGAGACAATACCAATAAATTTATTTCCTGGCTAAAAACTCATTTTGTAAATATCTCTTATGAAGTTGAACATAAAGGTGTGCTTGTGTTTAACTTGAAAAGTAGGTACCTCCACGGATAACCAGCTAAAAAGATATACTAGTATTATATGATCAAAAGTAGAGTGGTATTTGAGAATCAAAGATTGCTTAATTCATATTTATATCTGTCTGTTTAGTCTGCCTGTTTAATTGCAACAGAAGTCGTTTTCAAATTGAACACCTAGTTTAAGTGCCTTAGGTGTTTCTCCCTTTTCTTACACATTGTAAATGAAAACCAAAATGTTGAGAATCTAGTGTAGTTATACTTACGCCTACAGTAGCCTTTGTAACTGAGTTGAATTCAACCCGTCAGATATTCATGTTGCAAGCACTTCCTTGTGCATTTGTGCCTCGTGAACTGGCTGAAGGAAACGTGAGACGTGTCGGAGTGCAGGGAGAAGTGATAAATATAGATTTCGCAGTCTGAGCGGCTGTTGCATAAGCCTTCTCTAAACGCCCGCCAGACACCTTGGCCAAGAAACAGAGCGGATATTATGGGCCACGAAGTGTTGACGGCAGACCAGGTGAACTATACTATACTACGGAGCTCCTGGCAACCGGACACCCAAGATGCAACGCTTTCCCGGCGGGAGGGAAAACTAAGGTGGGTGGGGTCTTGGCTTCTCTTGGCTTCAATTATGAAACAATAAACAATTTGCCTGGCCATTCCCTGTCATCTTCTCCGAGTTTTTTTTTTGTTCTTGCCCCACGGCTGCTGTTGCGCTGCAAATTGGCTGCGACACTTGCCCCCATTTCCCCTGTTTTCCCCGCACTTTCCCCACTTTCCCTGGACTTCACACTCTGCCTGTTGTCATCGCCACTTCGCCGGAAGCAGATATTTTGATAAATTTTTTGTGCCATCTTGTGTTTTGGTTTTTGAACTACTGGCCGGCGTTTTGCCAGCATTTCCCAGATAACTGGGCTTTATGAAACATTGTAATTTGGTTTGGCTTGCCAGCAAGCTTTTCCTTTCACTCACTCGACTGTTAATTTATTGCCAGGGGAGTTCCCCCACCCAACTGGCCAACGTGATCCTGGCAACTGTTTGCAGGACAACGTAACTCGTATTGGTTATTGATTTGCTGGCCGGCACCTTTTATTTTTTCGGATAAAACAAACCTGGTCTTTGATTTCATTGAGTTCGAATTTCAGGCAGGAGTTTTTATTTGTTCAAGACTCGGCCACAACGAAAGCTTTGGAAACAATAAGCCAAGTTAGTAGGGGCACGTGCTGGAATGGTCTTCGAATTCAAAGTGCGGCCATGCTGGCAAATTAAAAGTTGTGTTCAATTTAAGGCCAGTAATTTGATTACGAACCTAACGAATAGTATTTACTTTGCCCAATAATGGAGTAAGCCAATTATTTTGGGATAGAGAGGCAAGCAATTATGCGCCTTAAAGATTTGAGCATAACTTTATTGCTTTTATGTGTTTCAAGTTTCGTTTCTACGAGCTTAGAGCGCCTTTCATGTTTTCAATAGACTTTATAGACTTTTCCCTAATTCTGTAAGAATAAATGGCTTAGGGGCATTTTCTTTGGCCGTACACGCAGTAAAATTCAGGCCAAAGGCAGAAGTCAATTTGCCAAGGTTGTCTGGCTTTGGCCAAAAGGAAAAAAAACCGGAGAAAGGAGAGAAAAGTGCCTGGGAGCAGGTCGTAAATCTTGGCACTTTTCACTTGGCACTGACCACTGGCCACCTCCCACTTTTGTGGCCTTAAATATTCATTTGTCGGAGTTGAAAAATTGAACGACTCCCGATTCTCAGTACTCGATTCTTGATTCCTTCTTCGATTTTCAGAGGGGTGTGGGGTGCGGGGGGTGTGAATGGGGGTGGTGGAAAATTGCAATCTGCTGACAGGTCCGAGTAATCGCCGTTCATTGCCCGGTTTTTCTTCCTTTTTTTTTTTTTTTTTTTTTTTGTATTTGTATCGGCGATATCGCCGTTGGCACAGGCATCGATGAGGTCGGGATATTAAGCCTTAATTTATGCAACGATTTCTTTGCGCAACGTGTTTATCGAGCGCCACTCACAACATTGCCGCACCAAGGAGGCGCCTCAAAGGGGGCAAGCCCATGGCAATATCCTTCCGTACAGGGAAACCCCATTAGTTGGACCTGGCCAAGGATTTCCCTGCTTCCCCCAAGGGACTTCCTTCAGCCGGTTACCACTTTCATCGGGAGCTGATTTCATCTGAGCCACTTTCGGTAAAAAGTTTACGTTTCCGGCTTGAGTCTACAAACATTTTCCCCGAAACTGCAATACAAACTTCAATTTGGGTTTTATGAGCCAAACGGCAGTTCGACATTCGACTGGCTTGCCACGCAGTTTTAAAAACTATTTCAACAACTTTCTTTTCATTCGATTTTATTTGTATGCAAGAATTTGTGGAAAAGTTTTGCTGATAACATTTCAAGGAAATGTCTTTAAGTTCCGACATGATTATTTTCATTCTGCGATTAACGATTATAACTGTCGTTACTTATTTGCTCTCCCGCTTGTTCTTTTTTAATGAATTATATGTTTATTTTCAACCTGCGATTTGTGATTATAACTATCGCTACTATTTTCTTCTATTTTTATCCAGCACGGTATACATATTTTTGTTCCTTTTGTTGAATGAACCCAAACTAAGCACGTTGTTTTTCATCGAAAATGTCAATGACACTTCACAGGTGCCATCACATTTGAGCTTTTAGTCCACTCTTGAAATAGTATTCAACCCTATTTCGGGTATCCTAAATGCACCGAAACAGAGGACATTTGCTGAGCTGCGCTGGATTTCATCCACGGAGTGAGTTCGGGGAAATGGGAAAATGGGAAAAGGGAGAAGGGAGCTGGATGCAGATGGCATATGGTACATGGCATATGGTTGAATGCCTCGATGGCTTGGTGGCCTGGTTGGTTGGCTGCTCCCTCGAGTGCCGAATGCTGGGAGCCAGTAGTCAGTAGTCAGGACTCAGGATACAGGATACAGGATTCAGGAGCTGGGAGATTGAGTTTTCCTCAAGCAAACTGGGGCGCAGGAAAACACACCAAAGAAGCCCGTTGTTGTGGATGGGAAATGGGATGTTGCTACTGCTGCTGCTGCTGCTGCTGCTGCTGCAATGTTGTAATGTTGCAAGTGAGAATGCATCATTAGTGCGGCAAAGCCACGTGTTGCTGGCAAAGAGCTGGGGTGGAGCACTCGAGCCGCAATAACCCACTGGGAAATGGGAGAACCACTTTCGAAGGCGGGGAAACCATGTGGCAAATGAGGCTAAAACACAAGTGAAGCCAGCCAAAACCAGAAGATACGTCCTCGTCTTCGTTTCCATCCATGTCCATGTCCACATTCATGTCTCCTTCTTGGTCTCTGTCTCTTTCCCTGTCTCCTTTCCCTGTCTCTTCCTCTGTCTCTGTCTGTGTCTGTGTTCCTGTCTCTTTTCTTGTCGCCAAGTGGCAGTGATGGATAGATGCCGGCAATGGATGGAACAGGACAGCAGTCAACGTTCATTTCCTTGCCGGGAAACTAATATTCAAGCGGCAGCAGCCGAGTGCAGGATTGCGAGAAGGATACACTGAATTCGCTCGACCAGCAAGATTGAGTTATCAATGGGATGTTTCAGGACATCAGTGGCTCGGAATGGCGAATTTCCTAAGCAAGCAGATTGCCATTTGCTCAAGACGCTCTGCTATTTGACATTTACTGTGCCTTTTCACGCCGTTGGGTTTTTGTTTGGTTTTAAGGCTTAAAGAACACACCGCTGAATGGCTTGAAACCAGCTGTATATAATTGATTTATTATGTTATTAACAAAATTAAAGAGTTTAAAGAATGTGTTCTATGCAATACTCATTTACTCAAACCATTTCCTATTCAAATGTCGGTTTTACTTTCATATCTAACACTGACAATCCTTTGTAAACTTGTTCCTTTAAGTTAAGCTGATTTATTGTAAGTCATTTTAGTTGTTGCTTTTAGTTGAACTTATTAATAATCCATACGAATTTGCATGAGTCATAAAAAAAGTCACATGTTGCCATTAGCAGGTGATTAAATCAACATGGAAAATGTGTAAATTAATTGGCTGACCAACAGGATGTATTTTTAAGAGTGTTGATTTTGAACAGCGAACAAGTCGCCTCAGGTGGCACTGACTTAATGCTCTGAGCCCAGTAAAAACAAATTGAACATCAGGGCGCTAGAAACAACAGCACTCCAAATCTGAAAATAGTTATATTATTGTTTGAAAATTCCCCGTAGTGTAGTTAGTAATCCCGGAGCAAGGATGCCGAAACGCGCTCCTTACACTTGGCGGCAGCCGGACTTTCCCGGCGACGGGAGCGACATGTCCTGGCAGAATCCCACCCTGCTGGTCATCTGCCAGGACGCGGACTTGGAGACGGCCATCCAGCCGCTGCTGCGCTCCCTGAAGCAGCCCTTTGCCCCCGGCCAAGTGGCAAGTATCTTTGTGCACGAGACGATGCGCGGGCGGTTCTGCGAGAAGGTGAAGGCCCTGATGGAACCGATGCACCGCCAGGCGGCCGGCCACGCCCACTATCTGAAGGCGGTGGAGATGGCCGAGTGCCTCAAGGCGGAAGTGGTCAGTCTGCTGACGCCGGACGACATTCGCTTCCGTTTCCGGATGACTCCCGGCTCCCCGGTGATCGTCTGCGAGTTCGACCAGAGCTTCTTCGGCGGATCCCGCCCCAGTTCGCTGGTCACGCTCCACACCTTCCGCCACGCCTCCGATCTGCCACGCCTCCTGGCCACCGAGCGGGTGCCTTTCGAGAGCGCCGCCGTCTGGGGATTCAAGATGGCCGCCGTCTACGAGGCGGCCTTGCATCTGGATCTCCAAAAGGTCTACATCAACTGCCAGGCGGTGCCGCTCATCCCGGTCATCCAGGAGTACCTCGAGGCGGAGCAGTCCCACGTGGTGCTGGCCAAGTACCACCACTTCGAGGTGGTTTCGCACGGCGGCAAGCATCGGGTTATAATTTATCCCGCCAAGGTCATCTGGGAGCCGACCGTTCGATCCGCTGGCGGCGGTCAAGGTCAAGGCGGAGGTCAAGGCGGAGGTCAAGGTGGGGATCAAGGTGCAGGTCAAGGTGAAGGTGAAGGAAAGAGCAAGGAGAGCGTCAAGCGGACATCTAAGAGCAAAGTTCAGAGTCGCGCGGGATTTCGTTCAAGATACTTTTCAAAAGTTTGAAGTTCACGCAAATTACCAGTAACTAGAAAGTGACAATCTTTATTTCAAGATTTTTAAGATTTAAGTTATGAAGCGTACTTTTCAAATTAATAAAGTCATATAGTGGTAGAGTGTTACTCAAATAAAATATAATCCTTAAGGCAAATAAGCTCTTTAGTTCCTATGTTGCCCCTCTGACCCTTATCAAATATAAAGCTTTTCTTTTAATATAATCATGAGTGGCACATTTGTATCATTTCTATTAAAAGAAATAGAGGAAAATACAAAACACATAGTTAAAGTCATATCTTTAATTTTCATTTCTATTAGAAAAGCCAAAGACAATGTTGAATGGTATAGTCAATAACAACCAAGTTTAATAGTTCCTAGATTTGCAAAAACCTTATTACAAGTTTAGTAGTGCATGAACAACAATTATTTTAACTCGAATATTTATTTATTATTTATTTATTTTGGCTCACAACTACTTTAAACTTTAGCGCTAGTATTATTATCTTCACCGTGGCTGGTTGATCATTTTCCATCTGGCAACTGTCTAACGTCTCTCAAAGCTGTTTCGCCTCCCCCAACCCCCTCATCCCCCTCACCGCCTCAACCCCCCCGCAAATCCGCAATCAGGAGCATCTCTAGGCCATAAACAACTACCGACGCGTATGTAAGTGGGCGAGAACACAGAAATAGTTCAAGTGCCTACTTTCGGCAGTCCAAAGCACTTAGTCGTGTTGCAACGTTAACCCTTGCACCACTCTCCACCCACTTTCCGCCCACTTTCCACCCACTCTCCACCCACGTTCCACCCACTCCCATGCCCCATGCTCCACATTCAGTCATGCCACATTGCATCTATCCGCGATTTTCGCAATGAGTTTCACTTAACTTTTGCGTCACTTAAATGTAATTTGTGGAACTTTTTGGCGCAGCCTTTGGGCTTTGTGTGTATGTGTGTGTTCGTGTGTGTATATGTGGGCATGGCATATTCGAAGAGGTAGTGGTTATGCACATGTGTGTGTGTGTGAGCAGCTGTTGTTGCCCATTCGATTGCATTCGCTTCGTTCGCCACTTTTGAGTGCATTTCAGTGTAATCAAGCGCCCACTTCAGAAGTCCTTCCCCATTTCGCCACCCATCCAGCCCACCAGCCCACCAACCAGCCAACCAACCACCCACTTTGCCACCCAACCACCCACTTCGCAGCCCGCACTCTGTTGCAGTTTCATGCTTTTTAGCATTTCATCATTTGTTGCCAGCTTTTGCCTGCCAACAACAAAATTCTCTCTATTTTTTATTCAGCATTTCGATTTTGTAAGCCTACAGAAAAGGAAATGTTTTCGGGGGAGGGGAAAGTGGGACAGGGGCGGTTGGTAGGTAGGGCGGTGGGCGTGGCTGGGCCCAACTCTTATGCATTGTTTTTATTTCTCGCCACCCCCTTTTTGGCGCCTCGCTATGTGTTTGAGTGGCCTTTTAATGCAGCCGCTTAGCGCGCGTGTTGCAACTCGAGTTGAGTTGTTGCCGTTGTTGTTGTTGTTGATGTTGCTGCTAATGTTGTTGCTGTTTCTGTTGTTTCTGTTGCTGCTGTTGCTGCTGTTTGCCCTGCTGTTGGCAACGATATTCATTATTTATTTCACTGACCCAGTTGCCGGCTGGTCCATGGCCTGACCCAATTTCCCATTCCCACTCCCAGTAAGCCAGTAAGTTGGCTGTCCAAACTTGGCGAAAAAAAGCATATTTCATTGAGCCTCATTGCTTTCGATCAAACAGGATGTGCCGTCAAGTCGGATCATCACTTCACTCAAGGAAATGAAATTCAAAGTTTGTTTTCCAATTGACTGGTCATAAAATTAGGATTGGATCAACTTTGAAGGGAGTCCGTCATCTGAAGGAACAATTTCATTATCCGCGCAAACAAAAGAATGTTTATGGTATTTCCTTTTGATTTTATAACCAATGCTTTACAGAATATTTTTGTAGGATTTATAGATTGATACAAGTTTACGAGCATGTTCAACAATTTGTACAGCAGTTTATTGTTTATCAAGTTTTAATTGCATTGATGCAAAAATGAATCTTATCTAAAATTTAGAGAATAGAATTTTTTTTAGAGCGATTGAAACCTGTAATTTACTTTTTCTTTAAATTAAATTCAGATAATTCTAAACATTTTTAAAGCTTTGATTATTTTCTTCACACGAACTTATTTATAAGAGGTTTACAAACAGCAAAAAGCAAATAAGAAATAGCTCGGCGTAATTAATTTACAAAATGAGTTCGAAACCGATTCAAGGCTTCCAGAATCTGGTGGCAGGTCAGGATTGACCAGTTCCACTAGGGATTCCACCCAGCCGCAATTTCAATGGAAGGAAAATGGGATTGGAGGGGACAGCATCAAATTGAGTGGAAGACATTGTATTAGACGGGATAACACGACGGGACATGTGGCACGATGGCTGTTCGTTCGGTTCGTTCGCTTGATTACAAAGAGGAGGACTTAGCAGTGCTCCCGGACAACAGGACAACTGGACAACTGGGCAGCTGAAGTCAGAAGTGAGGAGAATGGAACTCAAACTCAACTCAACTCAACTGACTGACTGACTGACTGACTGACTGACTGACTGACTGACTGACTGGCAACAAATCCAACTGAGCTCGTCCTTCATCCTTCATCCCGTTCCCTCCCCGTTCCTCCTTGTCATCCGCTGCTCGGGGCAACGAGGTCCTTCCTGGACAATTACAAAATTTAGATTATGTTTTCGTTTCTGTTTTATTTTTTTCTTGTGTCGTTTCCCTCTTTGTATTCGCTTGCCACAAACAATGCAGCCTAAATGCTGGGGCAAGGACGGGTGGCAGGGAGGCAAGGGGGCGTGGTGCTGATTGACAGGAAACAACGCCAACAAGTTGTTGACGGCACTGCCACAAAAGGGGGGCGTTGGCGGAAGGAGGCGTGGCAGGAGCAAAGGAGCAGCTGTTGCCCGAGTTGGTGCTGAATTAACTTGCATTGTACGCCGTCAGACAAAAGCCGATGGACGATGGCAAAGGTTGGGGGTGGGGCGGGGCAGAGGACTATCCCCTACATATATATAAAAAAAAAATATATATATATAGAGGGAGTGAATAGGAGCCGGGGTTTTCGAGGGAGTCGCTGGGGGGCAGCAACTCGGCAACTTATGCAGCGAAATGTTTGCCGTCGTCCGCTTCTATTGTGCGACGGCATTTAAAAGCCCCGAACCGCCCACCCAACACCGCCCACTTCCACACCCCCTAAGCGACCCCGCTCGCAACTTTCCGGCGACCCTGCCACTCCCCCTTCCGCCCCGCCAACCCCTACACCTCCACTGCCCCGCGTACTCCAGTGCATCTCGGAAGTTCGCACACTTCTGCTCACAAAGCATACTAAACTCCCTTTTTCACGGAATGCACTGCTAGGAATTTTCAATTTAAATTGCAAGTTTAATTAACTACTTCGTTTAAAGAAGATTTATGGCCATTCGCATAAGCATTTTAACTCAACAATTAACATTTTCATGCCATGCTAAGTCTCTAGGAAACGAATTCTCAGAACTTCTGCTTCCCCTTTTGGTGTGTTTAAAACATATTTAAATGGGTTAGAAATGCATTAATGCATTGATATAAAAAAAATATGTAATATGTAATATGTAATGTTGTGATGGCTTAAAAACTGGAGAAGTTGTGGTTTGCCATTCATAAAAATGTTGACCAAGTTCTACGCTTCTAAATAAAGATGTCTAACATATTTGTATATTGTTTAATGGAACTATATGTTTGTTTAAGTTTCACAGACCTCCTGCAGCGATACAAAATACCACAAAAACGCATAGTTATTGTGCATCACAATGACATTAAAGCGGATTCAATATCATGGTATTGGGAATCGTTCAAGCGTCGATTGCGGTGGCCTTTTTTTCGGTGTGGCCACATTGCTGCTGGGACGCAGTGCAGCAAGGCTGCGAGGCAGGCTGCCTGCTGGAGATATCTGGCCAAGTGCCGGCCAATCCGCCGACCTCCTCCCTCCAAGGACTCTTCTTTCAATAGCCTTTCAGCTTTCGATGGACGACGAGGCGAAGGGAGGTTGGTTGGCTGCCTCGCAGGTCGGAAACTTCTGCCGCCACCCACTTCATCTTCACCTTCCGCTTCCCCATCCGCATTCCCATTCCCCAAATGGTTGCCCACCCCACCGCCGGGTTTCCCGTGCCGCAGGCCAGGTGCTGTTGCCACTGTTGTACGGAAACACTACAAGGATAATGGCGGCGGCAACAACAACTGCATCCGAACAACAATGAGTGGCTGCCTCGGCGTCGCTGCCATGTTGCAAAAGTAATTCAATTTGACTTTTTGTTTTGAAGCTCTCCAGCGGGAAAGTGGGGAAAGCGGGGGAGACGGGCGGGGGATGCTGCAGTGCCCAAGGATTGGCAAGAACAACGCCAGCTGGCCTGGGGGCGGCGTTGTGGGCGTGGGCGTGGCACGTTGGCCATGGCGGTGTATAAGCTGCACTCTCGACGAGCTGCCAGAGTGGTCGAGAGCGTCAATTGATTTAGTCATTGAGTTATTGCCGAGTTGGCAGACGCTGTTCCTTCTCCACTTCTGCCCCTTCTGCCCTCCAAGGGCGGCTGAAATCCCTGAGGGAAGGGGAAGGGGGAGGTGGGAGGTGGGAAGGGAGGGGGAGAGCCTGGAAGGTCCTGCAAAATCCTAAACAAATAATGAATGGCGGGAGGGAAAAGCGAGAACGGTGAGATGGCTTAATAACTTATTGTCGAGAAATATGCTTACACATGCAATACATTTTATTTTATGCAGGTGAAAAAGAGGCTTAATCCTCTTAGTTGTTCTTACTATGGAATTGATAGCACCCAAACTGTAACTAGTATTCATTGGGAGGCAGAAGTGTACGAATGTGAGGATGAGTATCCATTCTACAAGGTTTGTATATGCAGAGGGTATTACAATTTAAGCAGTGAGAAATTTAATTATTTGTCATAATTTAATGATATCATAAAACTCCAAATGCTATTTTTCAAGCTGCAAACAAAATCAACGAATTGGTTTCACGAGATTAAAATGAAGCGTAATCGGCACCAATAATAATTGGCTTAAGTTGACCAATTACAATTCAAAAGTAACTTGAGACTTAAAAG